AAAAACCAAACAACTATACATACTTTACATTGGAAAAGTTTTCATTGAAGTTTGGTTTAATGCATAAATGTATAATTAATGAAAAGGAAATAAGTAGAAGAATAAGAAGAAAAAAAAACTAATCACAAGGTCATTTGTTTACAGGTTAAATAAATGGAATATTCTAATGGAGAAAGCTGATAAGTGAATTGGAACGGAATTTCTGAAAATAAAAGAATAATGTCTTGTTATACTTAAATGAATTAGATGAGTAAATATTGGATAAGAAACGAAAATAAATCATAATTAAGGTCATGGGAAAGATGGTATATTTTCTTATTCTTCTACTTATTTTCTTTTCATTAATTATACATTTATGCATTAAACCAAACTTCAATGAAAACTTTTCCAATGTAAAGTATGTATAGTTGTTTGGTTTTTTTTCCAATGATTAATTATATCAATCCTTTTAGATTGTGATCTCTTGAATAAAATTGACAATAGAAATGAAGTTTATATTATTCTATTATGTAATCGTTGTTATTGCTTTATTCTTACTCAATAATAATTACTTCCAGTTTTCATTACGTTTTATCTACACACCTTATTAAATCATCTACTGCAGTAATATAAAGTTTCATAAGTTCTTTAAAAAAATGTAAGTGGTTTTCAGATGTAAACGCGAAATTAACATTATATGAACCATAATTCACAATATAATCTATGAACATTCTTGTTTGATTAATAGAAATAACCTTTTTGTCCATTTATATTAAACTATTCCTGTTAGTATTTCAGCTAACGAGATGTATCGTATCTCTTATTCAAATGCATTTGTATGTCCGTATGTTGCTTTGCAGTTAAATGTTTATTATTACTATTATTTCGATCCAATGACTTTATAAGGTTTCTTAATTGTTAGGTATACTAGTTTACTGTTGTTCCATTTTATCGTTTAAGTAGTTAACGTGTTTAATCACGGTTGTATAACAGTTTATTTTTCAAATAGGTGATATTGAAAATTTTCTGATTTATTTTGGGTTGTGTTTTATACAAATTATCATATTCTTTTTATTGGAAAGCTGAATATTCATTATGTTCATCTGTGATAATTGTGTAGACTTGGTTAGCTTCGAGGTTAAAGTATTTAACTTTCAGCTCCATCTACTTCCATTTTTTTGGGCCATCAGATGGCTGTTAGGTATGCTGAGGAATATACCAATCATTATCATGTTAAGTCTAATGATGTCCTTTGACTCTAAATGGGCATTCCCTATCGGCCATTATTTTTTTCACTCGTTAAATATTGTACAGATGTTGTTTTCTATTTTAATGGTACGATGTGGTCTGTTTGGTTAGTATATAAATAGAGTATGTCCGGAATATAATGATTCATAACTCAGAGACTGTGACTTGCATTCTATACTCAACTGGCTGGGCTAAACAGGGAAGTGGGACCAATCAGAACCTTAGGCCGTTCGCTACGTGTTTTTCCGTGTCACTGAATCGATCGACATAAACGCTGCTTATCAATAGAAATTAGTTTGTCAGAGGCTGCACTACAAAATGAACACTAATAAAATAATAATAATAACGAAAATTATAGTAATTGCAGGTGATATTAGTCAAAGTTGTCAATTTACGAAGGTAGTGTAGTGTCAGTTACTATGTTAAGCCCATATACCTTATTCTAGCTTCTGAACAGGCCAATTTATCCATTATTCTTGAGTAACGTTTTGACCTTGAGCTATAAATATCGATTAACGTTTGACTAAATGGAGTTGGCTCACATGCCTTCACTGCGCGTCACTTCGTTTCGCTCTCGTCTATTCGCTTCGTCCCTCTGATTGTCTGTCCAGATCAACGATTGTACAAAATATACGTATTCGAAGTCCTTTGTCGTATTTGACTTACATTAATTCCGTTATTCACTATCGTGGACTAAGTCGATAATAAAATACAAGGAATGACGATATGTGTATTTTGACAGCAATCATTCATGCAATCCAATTGGAGTCAGACATCTGGCCGTAAAAGTGGTTAGCCTTTCGACAACATCGTCCGATCTAATTGACGTCAAAATGAAGAGCCCCACTATAGTGATAAGTCGATTACTAAAAATAAGAAAAATTGGTCCAGCGAAGAGTACTTGTTTCGCCTAATGGATAGAAATGTGTCAAGTTTGTAGACAAAACTCGTAATGTACGACACCAATTTCTGTAAATATCTGAATCCTCTAAGGTGTAACCACTAAAGTCTGACTTAGCAACAGCTATGTTTTCTACTTAAGAATTAATGTTTCTGGTTGTAATTCCATGTTTCCTGGTATATACAAATATGAAAAACCGAACTAGGTCCAAATGTATTTACAGTATGTTTTCCCTTTAATTCAACATGACATCAGTTCCTCTCTGGCAACTAGCAAGTCAAAAGTCCAAATCTAATTCTTTTGTTTAAACGTTTTCGATAGATTAGATACTTATGACTCCATGTATTTCTAATATCCATTTCTCGAAGTTTTGTGATGTAATTGGAGACACTTTCACGCTACAAACGTATCCTTCGGTGGTAATGTGTAAATCTTTAAAATCATGGTGAGAAGTGATTTTTCCTTCTCCCATGTCTTACAAAAATACCTTTTATTATATGTTTAATCCCTAGATATATCAATTATTTGAATAGGATGTATATTCTCACGTTGATGATTTGTGGAATATTGTTCATTTAAAGCCTCAGAATTACTTTTATCTTCTTTTGCTACCCTGTATTTTCTCATATCATCTATCAAGCTAAATCTATTCCTTGTAATGAACATTGTATCTTATTTCCTGTTACTTTTCTTGTGTACATCTCGAAAAATAACTAATCTTCAACATATATGGTCCTCTCTCAAGGTCATTCATTCGACATAATCCTGGTTGTTCCATACACTGACATATTAATATGAACATGCAAATCGTAAGATGATGTTGTTTTGATTTTCAATCATTCAGATTTGAAAAAGAGAACTAAGAAATCCAGTTCTAAACCATTGTTTATTGATTAGTTTTTTTTCCCAATTGATAATTATTCATATTGTATTTTGCTTTTATTGGCCTCATTTCTATTCTGTATTCATTACTGTTGTTGCTTGATGTCATGATATCAACAAATGTGTTTATTATAACATAAATAAACAGGAAGAAATAGAAATAACGGATTGTTTATCTTGATAATTCGGTTGTTTCTTTTCATCTTAGGCAGTTATTAATATTTGAAATAGAGTATTAGCTAAATGGTTTAATCTTTATTCATACTCTTCAACGTCTACTACTTAACCAAGAAGCGTCCAAATGGTGTGTCATATGAGCCTTAAGACATTCATTGACTACAATAATGATCTTTTAAAGCTTTCACAGAAATATCAATGAAAAATAAATTTTTTAAACTGAATAAAATTAATTTGAAAGAAACCCGTTCACGCAAATATACACTGAACTTTTATCCTGCTTCGAAATCAGTGTACGATATTATTATTTTACATGTAGTTAGCTGAATTATTCTACAGTCGATGTTAGTTTACAACAGAAAACACTTTAAAAATACGTTAATATCTCCCAATTGTTGTTGCTTAGTGCTCAAAAAGATACTTTTTTAAACAATAAAACTGTTCTGATTAATTAATCAGTTGACTGGTAATCCATAATTCGTAGCTAATCATTGATATGGTTTACTGCTATAAAATATTTTAATCATTTGTTTACTGCTTTGTTGATGATTTCTATGACTGATCCTGTTTTGATCATGTTTATTGCACTCAATATTTATTATTATATATCTGTGATATTTTTACTCCTCCATCTGGTTCAGTTGTGTTCTTTGATTCTTTACTTCTCTTATTTTAATACCAATTGACACTTTTCAATGTAACTGTCTAATTGGTCAGGTATTAATTTACTGGGTTTCTTTAAAAAAAGGATTGATTCATTTGACGCTTATTGGTAATTCATTTTGGTCAACAGCAAGTCACTCAATATATATATATATATATATATATATATATATATATATATATATATATATCACTCATGTAGTCTACATTATCCTGTCCCAACACTCTGAGTCTATGCTTATTATAAAAAAAACATCTTACCTATGTATTATTCCTCTAAACAAAAATCTATTTTTTTTCGCTATGCACTGCAAATAATTAACATTTTAGTCATCTGACTCACCTCCTATAGACATCAGTAACTGTTTAGTTGAACATGCCTCTTTTTAAGACATGATGCTTTTTATAACTTACATTTTTAGAGATGAAGTTCTACAGTCTTGAATGTTTCATTTGTTTAACCATTTGATACTATTTAAGTGATGTGCAATTCCATATGATCCTTAATTTTAGTCAATGGTAGTTAACGACATATTCATAATGGTCAGTTATCGAATAATTTTATTAGTTATAATGTTATTGAGTTAAGTAACATAATAAGGGATAGGTGTTCAATTAAAAAAATATTTTGTGTGATTAGTTACATTTCTTGTTGTTATTTCTGAATGAATTGCAGACGGATGTCTTGTCATAAAAATGTTTAATTATTCAGAGATCATCAATAAATATAAACGAAATTAGGTTTGCACACACGTTCAACCCAATAATCTTAATCAGTTTACGGAAATCTAGTTTTACAGTCAAAAGACATTTCAGGTTTTAATATGTGCAATATTTCTTATCACATTGTTTCTGATGATTAGTTCATTTCGGAGACATCTTTCATCATAGATTAGTATCAGCTAGATTCTCCAGATGTGTATACCAACAGTTAGGGATAAGGGGTCTTAAAACTAGAACAAAACTACTACTCAGTACTCTATTGTTCTCATTGATTCTCCAGTTGATATCATTTCGTGGTAAAAAACCCTCTTCAGATTTTTATTATTTATTTAATGAATGTTGGATTTATTTACTGTTATGCTATTCTTAGGTTTTTCGCTTTTTTACCTAACATTTAATTATTGTCTCATTCCTTTTCCTATTGCAGACCAAAAGAGGATTTAAGTAACTGTTTAATCGAACCACCTGATTTTATTGAATTACCAGAAACTGATTCTGAAACTAGAGAATATTCTGTAACAGACTGTTCACTTATGAGTAGTGCACACAATACAACAACTACTAATGTTAATAACACTTCAGCTACGAATCAAAATTCGAATGATTTAAATATTTTAAAACCTGTAGATAATTCTATAAGTAAATTAACCAACAATCCGTTAGATATACTACATTCATTAAATTTGGATACAGTACCGTCCTCTTGTATATTATCTACACCAGCTTCCTCCTCCTCATTATCAACAGAAACAGTATCATCAACTTCACCTCCAGCGCCATTATCATCAATTGCTGATATATCGTCGAAAAAAGTTAACTATTCTACCTCATTTAGTCATTTTAAAATGCCTTCGTGGGATAATCCATCTGTATATCCTGTTGGTAAGTTAGATAATATTGTATATATTTGCACTCTTTTTTGAACAGTGATGTGTTGAATTTTCATTTATTTATTTATTTCTGTAATACAGATCCAATGCCCTTAAATTTGTAACCAGGCAATTACAAAATGCTGTACTATAAGTGTAGGCAAACTGTCTTTCAGACGTGAGTTTACTCTTCATCTGCTTAATTCATATCTATAGCTTTTAAGTTTATCCCTTTAAGTTAGAGGGAATGCGTAGCTTGTTAATATTCGATCGTAGATGCCCTTGAAGAATTATTAGTATACTATGGAACTGCGGACTGAGTAACATCATGATTTTGAGTAGAGCACTAAGTAGAAATGATAAATCGGTTGTTGAAATTGTGGTGTTGGATATGTGGCAGTCAGGATATGAGTTACGCATGCTGAAACACCTTCTAACCCTACCTACAACGAGTTTTGTATAAGAATAGGTGAGAAGACCAGAGGTGGACAAAATACAAGGGGATGTTGGTCATTGAAATCACTGATTACCAGTTTGGGCAGTTCCAGAATATCCCGGATTTTTAGTTGGGGTCCATGCACCAGTTATAATCTATATTTGGAAATATCTTTGGCGACACTGTTCATAGTAAATCATAATCGCGCAGTTGCATCCATCCTTTATCTTCCTTCAAGTCTCAAGTGTTAATATTGATTCTCGCCTCTTCTTTTCTCATTTCATTCGTTCTTTCGAACTATATATAGCTTTATTGTATTATTGATATTCCTATTATTTCGACTCCTTTACTATTAATTTTGTTGAATTCTATAACACTACGCTATTGTTAAGTATAAAGACTTGAACAGGCACACTTTCACTCCATTTTCTGAACTGTTTATGATTGATTAAGTCACTGAATGATATATCTATAACTTCTCGCCTAAGCTACAAACGTTTTGCATGGATTTTAACCTCTGAACTAACCATAGTAATGTACACGCGTACAAATATACCCATACAGATAGAGGGATTCAGAAATCTGTTGACTATATGTCATTCTCTGTTATTTTTACCATGTAACTGTAATCATTCATTTTCGAAATCTGACTTCACTTTTTTTGACTGATTTCGTGCTTAGTGATAGATTTATTGAGAATGTGTAATTATCATTTTGAATTAAATGATTTCAATTTACTTTTACCAAGCTATATTTTAATCTACACTACACGAAATCAGCTTAATTCACTATGCATATATGCCTGTTGAATAACATATTAAAAATGTCTAATAAAACTTGATAAAGATTATTTTGTCCGTCGGAGTTAAAAGTTAAAATAATTAGTTATACTATGCTATCATTTAATTATTATTATTTGTTCATAGGTTTACTCAAATTGTGTGTCACAATAGGCAACAATAATTCTATGTTGAATGTTATATGTACTATTTAAAAAATGATGATCGACTTTAAAAAAAAGTCAATAATTAAAGCACTTTTGTTGATGTATTCTGTTTGTTTTTTTTAATAACCCAGGCTCATAATTAACGTTTATACTTCTCTAAACTGTGAATAGTATGAATACAGTTATGTGAAATGGATTTAACAGTAGGTAAAAAGTCAGAAAAGAATATCAGAACCTATAAATCTGTAATAAATAATATTATTGACCTGTGGGAGTAGAAGGCTCTTAATGTACATTTACTGAATGGCGATTGATTGGCAATTCTAAGTGAGATACAAAATAGCTTTTGGATAACTAATTTATTGGCTTGTCACATTCACTAACAGTTGTTGAATGAATGACATTATAGGTGGTATGGTGAATAATGTTTGACTTGCTACATTGTATTTAATTTAACTGTTGAAATGATCCGACTAGTTTTGAATAATGTTAATGGACTTTTTATCACGATTAACTTTCTGTCCTACGTTGTAGCTGACTGACTGACTGTATACATCTGTATAATGTCTACATTACAATATCAAACTATAGGCCTTTACAAAAATACACGACATATTTCGGTGTATTATGAATGTAACTTGTGTTCTAACTAAATATTTAAATAACTATTGATTTACGACTACTAAACTGAATGAATGCATACTAGAAAAACTATATACGAAATATTAAGTATATTCAAATAAGTCTTTTTTAAATCTGTTAGATTGAATTCAACTAGGGTACTCTCGACCATGAGCTATTTATCCGAATAGCAATTAATCCAAATGAATCGTACTAAATAATCAATCTTTAGTCATAGTATTCGCTTGAAACATTTAGTTTGTATCGTTGATTAAATTTGTTAAGTTTTATACGAGAAATTTAATCAGTTGGTCATTTTTATAACCATATATCAACTGAAGCTTTGATGGGAATGTAAAAGTTATTTGTAATAAAATCTATGTAGAACCGGAATATTGTCTAACACTTTTCTACTGCTTGGAAGATATTCAAATAATGTGTACAAATAAAGTTATTTATTTCGAAATCAAAATGCTAAATCATACATTGCAGGAATAGTCTTGCTGCCAAAACATTATGTATAGGGAAATGTTTACTGTTGGCTACTGTAAGGTTTTTAAAAAAGTTAGTGCCTAGTTTTCTTCTGAATAGAGGCAAATTTATATAATTTGCACTCCTAAAAATCGTAGTTAGGCGAATTGAGCTTTAATTAATGATGTAGTGAATTTTCGTCAACTGATGTGATTGGAATATATATTAAGTATCTCTAAACATTAGCTACCTCGACAAACGACGTTTCCTGGTGTAAGAGTAATTTGGAAGAATACTGTGGACGTCAAAACCAATACGTGATATTAGCTTCTTAAGTCACTGATACTTGGATTCAGCCATATCAGTAGGTTCATTTTACCTGGTTGGAGTCCCCGCAGTAATCGTAACCAACTATTTGATACGATAGGTGGCATTATTCAGAATTAGTCGCAACAGTAGTGATGCATTCATTTTTATCTTCCCTTAGATCTTGAGTTTAAAAATTAAACTTTTTTTCCGTTCCACGAATCCATTGTCGAGTTATATTATATATACTTAATCTTTCCTGCTTATACTGATACTGTTGGTACTTCGACTACTCTGAGATTTTTCCTAATGATTTCTTTTTCCGTTCTGAAATGGTATGACAACTTGAACCGAGGCGTATGTGTGCCAGGTTCTATGTTACGAATGAATGACTAATAAAGATAAGTGGAAAACTAGTAAAATCCCAAATGGTGTCTGCTTCTATGACGTCTGAAACTATGGAGTTTTGACTAGCTAATCATCCCATTAACTGACTATATTTCCACTTTACCTCTGAGTACTGACATCGAGAAATAACTTACAACGTTCATGCTCGTGAAATGACTTATATAATACACCTGCAAACTATCAAAACTGTTGTTTCAAGATGTTAGCAATACTCATTTGATTGCTCACCTTCACTATCTCTAAACACATTTTCGAATCTCAATAGAAATATTTGGAAAACTATAGCTGCTATTTTTTTTGCATTTGACTTGTCTTTGTTACATCTACTTTTGAACAAAACGTAATATCTTAATAGATTAATCGTATTTAGCATATTAATCCAACATATTTCGGTTAAAATTGAGATTTTATAATTTTTGTTACATTAAAATTTAACCATTTCCACTCTGTCATACGTATTTAATCGATTAAATTTCTATCACGAGCTGATTTATGTGTGTAAACCACTGAATTATTGCTTGGTAGTCTAAAAGTCTAACTCTTACTCTAAAACTCGAAGGTCATAGGTTCGATGCCCAGAAGAGTTGTGAATATGCGTTGCTAAAGAGTTCCCTACGAAACAAGTATATAATGCTTACTGATTTTTAATGATTGTCTAACTTAGTTTGATCGAAAATCTCAATATAGTCTTACAGTTTTCATAAACCTCACATTTTGATAAATTAACATACTTAAGACTATCCTATTTGTAGGAAACTATATTAGCCTCTTTATTAATGCTTTTTTTGAATACAACATAAATGTTTAAAAATATTATAGTAGGTAATAACACTAATACGTAATAAGGAAGATAGGAGTACTGAACAGTGGACAAAATAGACAAATTAGTAAGTGAATCAATGAATGAACGTAATAGAGAAAGTGAATCAATTCATTCTTTTTTAACTTTAATATTATGTGAAACTAATTTTGAGTAAAATTTTATTTTATGCCCAGAAAAATGAATAGTAACCATTTGATATTGTACTATCAGATAAATATAAATAATCATTGAAAGGAAAGAATTTAATAATAACAAATCAATTCATGTTTTTCATATTTCAACTAAAATAATTTCTCACAAGATGGTGGTTGGAGGTAGTCAACAGGAAACCCTGGATCTAGATTTCGTGCTACTTGACACTCGTGAGCAAGGTGTACCTGTAATCTTGAGAGAACTGATGCTCCCTGACGGATTCGATCCCATGTCGAGTCACCTAGACTGGTGTCCACATCGACAGGATTCGATCTGCACTAAGAAGGACCTGACGTACATGACATTGATCACCATCCAGTGATCAGTCAATTGTAAATAATTTCGCACAATATACTCTCTACGGATCTTCGAACTGCTGACCTTTGTTCCTTTCTCTCTCTTAGTTTTACCGTTTAGATTTTCTCTTCATAAAAACTCCATGAATATTATAATCCTTGTAATTAGTTTTTTTCTTATCTTCTCTTATTGATTAGTTTATTATTTGTTTTCAGCTACTCAGAATCGTTCATCAGTTATCAGGAAATAATGAAATTATTTGTAGAAATATATTAGTTTTCCTATTTTTGATTGTGTGTGTGTGTTTGGTACACAATAATGTCTTTAGTTTTCTTGCTTTCCTACTTCGTTAATGCCTTAATTCACCTTCTACAACTATATATCCAATTATGTGGAAAGATTTAACTTAGTATTATCAATTAATAAAAAGAACTTGTCATTATCTACTTGGTAAATGATTAAGTAGAGTTTTAAAAAAGAAAACTTACTGGAAAGAAAAATATTCTTATCAGAATAGGTGAATAAATCGAAATGTGACACTTCGTGTGTACACATTGTCGATCCCTGTTTTGCTTTCATTATAGACAAATAACGAATTGATACTTATGATTGAACTCATGCGTTCGTATAGTTTGATAATTCTTTAGTGAAGTTTTCAGTGTTATCATTATCTGTTTGTGAAGTTAATCTCATCGATAATCTTGATGTGATATAGTGATGAGGAGTTTTAGTTCATAAAATATTAGTGGTGGCTTTTTTTAATAAATTATTGCCATTAAATGGTTTACTATTATTTATTTATTTATCGAATATATAGTTAGTATGATAAAAATTTAATAACGTTGTCCATAAAGTTCGTCATCTTTACTTTTTACATTGGGGGTCATACTGACTTTTATGAGAAGGCAAACGACCATCCCCAAGCCCTTGACCTAAAGGTCTGATTCACAAGGCAATGAAGCAGCGTTACGTGTTACAATCCCTGTAAGTCCGATGATGAAAGTAGGTTCGGATACCATTCATTTTCTTAGTCCTGTGAGCTATGTGCTCTACTTGGTTGGTATTAAGGTTATCTAAATTCACGAGGTAGGGCTTTAGAATTCAACAATAAGCTCAGAACCTCTTCTTTTGTGCTCTAACTTTTAACTAAGCATCTTCACCACGTAAAGCTAGTCTGTAAAAGTTCCCTGAAAAATGCAGTGAATACATAGTTGTAAAAAAACTGGAAGAACTTGTTAAAATCCTTATACTGCTACTGGTTACATCTGCAAACAGTTATTCATTTGCTACTTTCTGTATAACGTAATCGACACTGATATTACTTGACGCAAAGAAAAAAGGTAAAACTGTAGATGAAGATTTTATTATGCATGAACCACAAATCCACAACTGATCGTAACGACAGTGAAAATTACAATGAGAAATAAGTTATTTTAAATATCCAGCCAATAGATTAGTTTGTGTACTTCGAAATGGGAGTGGTTGGCACTTATTAGTTAACAATTTAATATTTGTGTATAATTTAAAATATCAACAAGTACTTTAATCGAAAAATCTAACTAAACGCTGGTTTATCCATATTTGCTTTAATCTTGAAAATATTTCAAAAGTGGGAGAGAAATTTTCCCACCTGAGGCCAAGGTCACATGATTTACATGTCGAAATAGTTGGGTTCTCTTTTTTCTACATTAGCAATCTATGTTCTACTGCTATGACATAAAATCTTATGTGGTATGTCATCGCTATATATATATTTCTAACCATCGAAACCGTAACTATAGTACTTTAAATCGCCAGTTCGAATATTCAAACAATTTAGATGATTGAATTAATGTAAAAGCAAATTTACCACTAACTTAATAGCCTCTAGATTTACTGATACGAAGAAAACTATTGGACTTCATAACAAAGCATCGACAGTAGAGAAGAAAACTCTATTTATGCATATGGAATTTAAAGGAGACAGGGCTACTGAAATCCTAAATAAACGGATTTCGAAATCATTAAATAAAACATTCTACGCAACTGAGCTCCGAATCGTTTTCGATTTCGATTTTTTCTTCAGCCATCCAAGTATCCCATTTTAAATAGAATAAATTTGTCTGTTGTTGTTATATTACAATTAGATGAAACCTCAAGTTTTTGACTTTTTTCTAATTAAATCATGTTCATTACAATGAAGTAATTAGTTTACATGCTTAATTAAACTTTCTATTTGATAATAGACTTAATGGATAAAAAGAAGACACAATTCTCAGTTGAATTTCCAGATTGAGTTGTACTGATTAAATTTTAAAATATTTTATTCAACTTTAAACCTCTTGTCTCCAAATTACAGTGCTCTCTCAGTTTGATTCATTCACCATCATTCTTATTAGTCAATAGTTACCACTATCGAAAAGTTACTGTAATAAACAACTAATTATCTATTTCTTTATATAATGAATTTTGCTAAATTACCAGGAAATTGTAAAAGTTGTATCCACAATTAAATGGTTTGTTTAATTGCAAGATATTTTGGTCGTCTACTGCTATCACATGGACATATATTTCGTCCTTGTTTATGACCCCATAATAGTGGTCAGTTAAATCCTAGTAATTGGTTCAATACTGCATTACCCGAAGTTTTGTAGGGAAGCAGTAATCTATAAAATCAGGTGCGTCGAAAATGTGGACGTAATGTATGGTTAGCATTAAAATATAGTTTCCTAGTTTTGTGAAATGATTAAAACTTGAAAACGCAAATCTTTTACTGAATGATACAAGGTGCACCACCTGAAAATAATAGTCCCACGTTTAATCCTGTGTAGGGTTGTGTTATTGAAAATCCCCTGGTTATCAAGAATTTTCTGGAGTATTTCAGTATGATATTGAAGCCGTGTTTTGTTTGAATTTTGTCTTTATATCACATTCAGTGTTTGTGATTTTTTCCAAAAATAATTTCAAGTTTCAACACCTACTTTTAATCGTCACGCAACTTATAAAGTTTGTAAAATAATATAATCTACCTCGGTTTAAAAATTTCTCATATATGCAAGTAACTGTCTTAATCATTCGTCATGGTAATTCATTCAGCATTCTGATAGTTCCCTTTTTTAATTGTCATATCACCTTCCTATTGGATCTCTTGGTATCTGGAGCTCCGGCAAACTTTCATTTCATTGTCGTATTGTAACCATCATATCGCCTATTCCCTGTAGAATTGTATGCCTAAGAATAATTGTGCATGCCATTGTCCTCACTATCTGGAAAATGATTTCATAGTCTTCAATTGAGGAAAGTCTCCCTCATAACCTAGTTTTAGTTATTTTTGTGTTCATCGAAATCATGAATCCATGGACTAGTTTATAACAGTTAATTTTCAACCATCTAATTCATATTCTATTCCCGAATATGATTAACTCACGTACTAGCATTAAGTACCACAAAACAGATGTAAACCATTCTGTGTCAAGTCGAATGTTTGAACCCAAATTTTAAACAATATACGTTGTTTACCTGAAATATACCTCTTTTATCTTCATATTTTCTATTATTATTGATGTTTTCATCATTTATACCGTTACTATTATTTTCTTTATAGGGTCAAGTAGCTGTGTTTCAAAGTCATCAATTTGTCAAAATGAGTTGATTTCTTCACAAACAAATATAAACCAATCATCAAATGCTTTTACACAGGCAGATCAATCACAGTCATCTTATTGTGACAGGCTATCAAATTCAAGCTCTGTGACACCTATTTCAAATTCCACATCATCCACTCCACGTTCAATTTCGAAAGGGAGCTTATTGCTTCGGTCCCCTCTTACTCTCCCATTAGATAAATCAATCCCATCAATACGTGCAAACACACAACAACAGAATTTGATGATAGATACATCTGCTGTTGTTGAGTTAGACAAACGATTGTCTAGTGTTACACATGATAAACCTCGATCTGGTCAGAATGTTACATTCAATATACTCAATCCAGATAATGTCACTTGTTATTCTTTACCGAATCGGCATCATTTACCTAATCTATGTATGACCACTGATACTCCCTCAGATGAAAACAGACAAAACGTTAATATTATTGAAACTGATCCTAGTATTAAGTATTGTAATTATGGTAAAAAGTCATATGATTATTTTGCTACAGACAGTGTTCTTTTAGTACGATCATCTAGACGACGTAGAATTAGACCTGATTTACAAGTGTTACCGTCAATGAATACTGATTTAAAAAATACCGATCCTTCCTCTCCTGATTTCACTTCAGTTACTGCTCATCCGTCTACTTCTAAATCGAATCCATCAGATTGTTTGAGGCCTGAAAATGACTCCTCACTGTCGTCCATTTCTTCATCTACAGCTACTGCGTCTACTGCAACAGTCGGTGTATCACAAATAATGTCTAAGAGTGGTATACCAATGGATTATTATTACTCATCAGGCTATCAATCACACTCGAGACAGTCAAGTCTTGAATCACAACCTGTTGGTTCTAGTCCACCATTATTATCAGCGGAAGTATTCACACAGACTCAGTAATTGTTGATATTATGTAAGTATTTTATGTTTATATGAATATTAGCTTGTATATTTGCTTGAAATACGTATAGACTGTTTTATTCGAATAGGGATTGATATGAAGCTGAATAAAATTTCTTTTTTTAAGAGAAATAACTTAATTAAATAATTTCTATGAGTTTTAAACTTATACTAATTTGATATGTTACATATTTAATGCTGACTGGAAAGTAAGAAAACATACCTCGTTTTATTTAAATGGATTAAATCACACATGTGTTGTTTATTTGCTTCTTAAAAATATCCTCGTCGTTTTTCTGTGATTCATATATAATCTCGTTGAATCTTACCATGTAAACGTCTTGTATATTAGTGGGTTATTTATAGGTGTTTTGTATCATTTTGAATTATCTATGAACGTATGATTACGCTTGATGTTAAACTGCTTGTACGAATCAGTGGAAAACTGTATGTGGTAAAGCTGGTAGTGGTGATGATGGTTTGAAGAATTCTACAGTAAACCTTGGATCTACATTTCTTTCTGCTTGGGACTCGTCAGAAATATGTACCTATAGTGTTTAGGGAATTGATGCCCATGGTGGGTTCGATCTTGTGTGACCCGGTTTCAGTGTCATCAACGTCATCAACGAGCTATTCGGACCGCGAATGATCTTCTTTAGGACTGTGATATTTTTACAAATAGTTGGTCACTGAGTAATGAGAAATGCCATCTATTTAAAGTCCTTAATTATGATCGTGCTCTAGTGAAGACTAATATTTACTAATAAATCGTCTCTGTAATCTAAAATACTGTATTTCTTCAGATATTTTGAAACTGAGAGTTAGTGATGAAGATGAATAATGTATCTTGCTGAAGTTCCTGGTATGCTGTTATCGTAAGTCATCAACCAGTCGGCTACAACGTAAGGCCAGGCACACATATGCATCGGTCCAAGTTGCCATACCTCATTGTCATAATAAGATGAACGCCAAATTCATAGAAGCAGTTACTTCAATGGTAGTAATATATAAAAGATATATTGTGTATAACGATATAGTACACAAAGAAAGAATTGGTTCGTAGGAAGAAAGGTATGAAGTAGTTTTAATCTCACAGTTTAAGGGAAGACAAATAGTGTATACACCTACGCCATTGTGATTAATTCTGATTCATATCGCCCAGAGCCTCCAACGATTGGTTACGATGGTTGCGTGGACCCGAATCAAGTAGTCTGCATCTACCAACATTGCTCGTACCAGAAGTTAGTGACTTTATGAACCCATGGTACGTTTCAGTTTGACCGCCCCTAATTTTCTTCCACCAATCTCCAACACTAGTCAACATTAAGCCTCGTGGTAATTAGTGTTAAGGTATGCGTAACACGTGACCCAATCATCTCAGCCAATGAAGATTCACAACCAGTGAGGCGCAACCATACGCGTGCCCGTAATAGATCATGATCAGAGTCTAAACATGTATTCCAGAACGAGTGGCAGTCTTCTATCCAGCCTCTCCAACGATGACTGATGGCAATATGGTCTATTTGAGTCCATCGTTGGTTTGGTGTAGGGGGTCGCCATGTTAGACGATGTCTCTCCTTATGCTTAAAATTTGTGTTCGCTAAAAATAAACGATTGTCTGAGCACAATTGCAGCAGACGATCACCACATTATCTGTTTATTGTGCCGGAATACTAAAATACCCACCTAAATGCCTTTCTGTTTGGTTTAAACTACCTATCTGGGCATTAAAGTCACCTGCTACGAGTACTATGTCTGAACGTTTAGCTTTCTGTAAAATTCATATTTCACTTCATCTGAGCTGCAATCGGTGGGAGCGTAGGCAGAAACGACAAAAAGGCAACGACGTGTGTCCCTATCCTTCCGAGATCTTACAGAGCCATTTAGCCGAACAGCACATAAACGACTGTTAACGGGGATTCACTCTAACAGTGCTTGTTCCGCCCTCATGCTTAGTGCTATCCCTACTCCTGCCAGTCCACGAGAACTGGCCGTCGGGTCACCAGAGACACGGAGGTTGTATCTCGTTGGTTCTCCGTTTTGCCAAGGTGAGGTCAAGTAAATGGCCACACTAGGAACCGATATGCATGTTTCAGAGACACAGCATACATCGATTGCACGAGATTCTAGGGTTTTAGCCAAAGTAGACTGCTTGCCGATTTGACATAGTGTGCGTACGTTGAAGGCTCCAACGTGTAATTTCGAGCGAGGTTTCAGTATACCTGGAGCAGTGTTTCGTGTACTAGGATCGTTGGCCATGGTGACCCTGGAGGAGGAAGTTTAAATTTAATATTCGAAGTAGGAGGAATGATGGGAATTGAAAAGGGAGGTTGATTATGAATAGCGTGATCTTGGGTGTTGTTAGAGTTATGAGAGCGGTCACCACTTCCCGGCTCCCCACACCGTGGAAGGGTTCTTCTGGAGGTACCTGACAAGGAAATTGGATTAGAGGTGGTCTTAGTGACCTGGAAGCGTGACTGCAGTGCTCAAGGGACAACTGCTTGAGGTCGGTCACACACGACCTTTTTGTAGGTAGTCTTTGTGTTAGCTCCGTACTTGTTGAGACCTTACCGCCGGAGACGGATATCCGTGGGATAACGCGAGGTGTGCATTTTTAGGGTCGACCTTTTCTAACTTCATCCCTCCTTGTGGGAAGGCGAGATCCCTGTTATGCTGGTTGTCTGAAGGAATCACTATACAAAGACTGTGATATAGATTCCTTTTATCTTTTAAATTTTTAAATGATAGATGTTGTAAATTAATATACCTAGTGTTCCTCTTACAAAGCATGCATATATTTACTAAACCGATACAGCATTTTACGTAACATATATTTATATGTTAACAGACAAGAAAGACTGTTTTTCATTAATAATGGTACCAATCATTCATGACCGCCAATCGTGTTGGTTACAGCCTTAATTTGTATTGTAGACTAGTCTTTTTAATGTGTTCTTTCATACAATAATAAGATTATTACTTTTTATAACACTCAGCTAATATCTCATTTGTTTTGACTATTCAACACAATATTATCATTAATTGACGATGATCAATTAATCGAAAATGGAGATATTTTTCACCAATTAACTTATTTGACTTGCATTAAATCAATCAATCATTATTTGATAAACTTATTGATCAGTTAATAATCCTTTTTGTAATTTAATATATCACAATTAATTTAATCTCTTAACACAGAAACTTCTTTATTGCCCTGTTGTGCCTACGAAACAACATGTTGAATAGTTCAACTCTTGAATGCTGTAACAGATGAAACTACCAGGTTTTACCATACCGGGCTTCGTCCTCTTCTAGATTTATATTATGTACTGCTAACAAGTGGATTTTCTTTAAGCCCTTAACTTCATATTATTATTTTAGGAAAATTGTCATCACTACAAAATACTTATTTCAAGGCTAAAAAGTGCAGCACAAAATTCATCCTGAGTAGATTTTTTACGGTTCATTAATGATAAATATTTGATCAATATCTTAGTGAATATTCTTTTTTAAGAACAATTGTTCGAATTTAAATTAGTCATTTGTTAGTGCTTTTAGTCCTTCGAATCAGTCTCGATCAGGTTATAGAATATCGTAGATATATTAGAACCTAAGATAGATTTAAATTCGAGTAATTACACAAACCAAAGGTCCATATGAATGCAAATCCTGTGTCAGGCGTGTGAAACTCTAAAGAAATTTTAAATTTAAATTCTGTCATTCATTATTTAATAGTGAAATTAATTACACAATCATCAAAATTTATAGCGTCAGTTTATCTTGAGACATCAATTCAAGTGTGATTTCAAACACGATTTACGAAGAGTTTAATTTAAAGTGTCATATTCCGTTTAGTTAGCTTCCAATTCTTTCGTTTCTAACTGTTATAACTCACTTCTAAATGATCTCACTAGTTATAGTTTGTTTACGTGCTATTAACATTGATAAGATATAAACAAGGCATAGAAGTTTGATAGTTATATGATTTTATTTCCACTTACCAATTTAATGTTCACTTTGCTTATTTTGGCTTTGTCGACCAGAAGAACCAATAACCCTAATACAAAATGTACTCATTAAAATTCAATGGTCAAACTTGTAGTTACAGAGTTATCGGTCACAATGAATTAATTAAGTTGTAAATACTTTACAAAACTGTAAATAATCTGTAGGTAGAAAATTCACCTGATAAATTATTCAACGTATTTCAATCAGGAGTTTCACTTCAGTTTGTCAACTTAAATTTTCCAAATACGTTTTATAGATTAGTAGAAAGATGTCAGATTTTTAGCTTATTAATGCTTAAGATGGGTTAAAAAGGATAACCATTTATAACACAAGAATGCGTATATATACAACGTATTCCATAAGAACAGTTTATTGATCAATTTAATCCTAATTTTATATTTTAAGGCTTTTTACTACAAATGTTACTACTTTTCTTGATTGATTTGTATACATTTGTGTAAGTTTACTTTGTTTTATCGTGTTTAATAATTGATAGATTTATGACCTCTTATCGAATTTGACCTTGATGTTTTAGTCTTTGAATTTTTCTTACAAAAAGTCCTGTTGATATATATATACTTCAACTTTTTTCTCTTTCAAAGTTTCAAGTATGAAAAATTCCTTATATGACATTTCGTTTGAATGAAAAAAATGGCCATGGTCATATTATTATCGTGTTGTAAAACCCAAAAGTACTTTAGGTATAGTAACTTTCTACAGTCAAACAATGATTAGATAGAAATAAGTTTAAAAAATCGATATATTTAACAGGAATTCATTAACATGTTTTTCATATGACATTCACACTTTACCGTTTCGCACTAGAGTTTCGTGATATATCCTGCGACAGGTGATTAATGAACTCTGTTTTCTTAGTGTTATCAGGTGTTTTTGTTTAGTTAGCTTTATTTCACTTAAATATTTTATCCACAACTTTATGTTAGTCTGGAAATGAACGTTTTGAAGTTCGAAAATGAAGCTAAAAGTTTTTCATATGGCAAA